TAAAAAGTCACAATGACGTACAACACATCTGGCAGTGGCTGTCTCAGTGAATACGCACAATATTCAAACCAACTCCCATGTGTGTGTGATGTGTTAATGACACTGTAGGGTGATCAGACGAGTATACAGTGGAAGGGGACGCACGCACCCACATACGTACACGTATACACACACACACACACACACACACACACACACACACACACACACACACACACACGCACACACGCACACCACGCACCACACACGCAACACGCAACACAGCACACACACACACACACACACACACACACACACACACACACGCACACACGCACACACACGCACACGCACACGCACACGCACAAGCGCGCGCGCGAGACAATCAGTCTGTCAATCTTTGTTAGTGCGTGCCTCAGGAACACACTAACAATATACACCATATACTGTACTTTTCTCAAGATTGATGGACTGAACACATTAACTCCAGGCTGCGGGACTGATTACCTCAAACTCCTCATCTTCCACAGTTTTTCTCTATTTTGAACTGAAGAAGCCAATGCTGGCGAAATTTTTCCCTCAACAAAAATTCAAGTGTCTCATTCTTCAATTTCAATAACGTTATTTGGAAGTTGTTCGTAGTGACCTTGCGGGTCTTAGTTGCTGAAGAAAAGCTTAAGGTGTCTTGATATCTGCTGATATTGCTATTCTTTTTTTACTAAGAGAGTAGCAATACTGTAAAACAAGTAGTGTGATCCGTAAACAGACAGCCTAGAGTGATGTACAGTACGTAAGACATAACAAGACAGAAATATCAGGGTGAAAAAATAGAAGAAAATCAGTGGATGAAAAATAGATGAGAGAGGGAGTGTCTGCCAGATTCAACAGTTCAACTTTTTTAATCGTGGACACACTCGAGACTTCAGCTGGAGGACCCTAACTCGCATGTCTTGTGGGAGCTGGTGTGTCGATGTCGCAGCTTTGTAAGGGGTCTCTGTCTTCAAGCTAGTGAGGATTTAGTAGGCATGACTAAAAGCTGAGACTCTACCTCTGCAACCACAGACAGATGAAGAATAAGCAGGTGAAGTGAGTGCACACAGGAGAACTTTGGCAGCAACAATGTTTACCACAATGTGAGTTACACAAACCATACCACGGGCGGGGATAGAACCCGCGATCGTGTCCTTACGATTTCGTGAGTCATGTTGAGTTACACAACTTCTCCTTCTTACATCTGACTATATCCACCACCACCATCGTCTCTACCACCATCGTCTCTACCACCATCGTCTCTACCACCATCGTCTCTACCACCATCATAACCACCACCACAACTACTATCTTCTTCACCTTACTACTTCCTTCGCCACAAGAACCAGCACTGACACCACAGTCACTAACAAAACCACCAACACTACCATCATCTCGTCCAAGTTAACCTCGAAAAATATATTTTTAAATTTTCTCTCAGATTTTAAAACCTGCATAAAAAATATTTTTGGCAATGAAAAACAGTACGGTATAAAGTGTCAGACAAAATTCTATAATTTATACAGGGGGTTACCTACTGTTAGTGAAGTTATTATTCAGGTCTAACTGTTCAATTTTCCAGTGTTTCAATCTCTGGTGATAGTCCTCGTGATCCTTATGTATGTAGCGTTGTAGGTCACACTATGGGCTTCGTAATCTCAGGTCTGCTACACCTTATGTTTACATACACTCATAGTACATCTCTCTTTCTCTCTCTCTCTCTCTCTCTCTCTCTCTCTCTCTCTCTCCTCTCTCTCTCTCTCTCACACACACACACACACACACACACACACACACACACAGTTCATAAAACACTTGGAACGACCTTTGAGGAAAGATGGCTCCTGGGGGACCTTGCAAGACATGTCATCTGTCGGGAGATTCCTCGTGGGTTCACTTAAGTCATGGGAGAGACACAAAGTCTCCATCTTCTACCTCAGAAATTCAACAGCCACTAAACTTTTGTTTTTCTAATCTGAGCAAATACAGATGCGAGTTGTTGTAAGCCGCGCTCCTTGGCCACCGCGCAGGAGCCAGTGAAATGGCCGGCATTAATTATTCAGGGCGTGCACATCCTCAGTGAGGGAGAATTTCGTCTAGTTGGTGACTTGTTTTGTTCTGGTAGAATGAGTCGTTCATTCATTCTGCTACGATAACTTTAAAAAGAATATTAATGCTATATGTTTCATTTCTTCTCTCCTGTAGCACGCGTGTGCACATTGCTTCAGTACTTGTGCACATAACACTCATTCAGTACTTGAATGAGTGCTATGTGCACAATTACTGAAGCATTGTACTTCATCTGTGTTATGTATACAGTCTCTGAATTTAGATCATAAACCAACAGGATTTAATAAGTGACAGTATTAACACAGAGGTTATGACAAGGTGATGAGTAACCACAATTATTTAGCTTTTCTGGAGTGGTGGCACTAGTGTGATAGTGGGTGGTGGCACTGGCGCGATAGTGGGTGGGGGCACTTGTGTGATAGTGGGTGGTGGTACTGGTGAGATGGTAAGTGGTGGCACTGGTGCGATAGTGGGTGGGGGCACTGGTGAGTGGTGTCACTGTTGTGAAAGTGGGTGGTGTCACTGTTGTGAAAGTGGGTGGTGGCACTGGTGTGAAAGTGGGTGGTTGCATGGTGTGAAAGTGGGTGGTGGCACTGGTGTGATAATGGGTGGTGGCACTGGTGTGGTATGGGTGGTGGCACTGGTGTGATACTGGGTAGTGGCACTGTTGTGATACTGGATGGTGACAATGGTGTGATACAGGGTGGTGGCACTGGTGTAATTCTAAGTAGTGACACTGTTCATATCGAGTAGTGACATAAGGTGTGACTCCAGAGAGAGGGACAGGCCAAGCAGGTTAGACTACGTCAGTAGACAACACTGAAGCAACCGGCCTAAATAGTTTAACATGCAATTAGGCCTCAAACATGCAGTGAGCTATATATACGTACAGTATATATATATATATATATATATATATATATATAATATATATATATATATATATATATAAATATATATATATGCAATAAAATCACAGTAAACAGGTGATTTCAGAATATGCAAAACAACCACTCTGAAAGAATAGAGAAATTCCAAGCGTTTTCGTGACTACTCACATTATCAAGGAACTATGAAAGTAAAGCATCCAAGGAAGCTATATAAGGGGTCTGGCCAGCACCTCACTATCAGATCCCACAACGGTTAAACACCTGACGCGCGCCGACCCAACTTGGATAGGTCCATTGCACAACTCAACCCACAAACTATTCTACCCAAGAAAATTACGAATTTGTAGTCCTGAGTTCATAGATGAGGAGATATCCAAAATTTATGAAATAGGTAATGATTTAAAATACCCAAGAAATGTAATTGATAAATCTTTTAAAGTTGCTAGAAATACTTTTTACAATCCAAAAAGGGACAACCAGCCTTATTCAACTAAAAATATGTTGGTTCTCCCTTACCATGAAAACTTGGTTGATATGCCTTCTCTTCTTAAGACTTTTAATATTAAAGTTGTATTCAAAAATCTTGATACAGTAAAAAAACTTTTGATAAAGAATTCCCCCCAAAATGCTGATGGATGTGTCTATAAGATCCCTTGTAAAATTTGCGATAAAGTTTATTACGGTCAAACTGGTAAAAATCTCGAACTAAGATTAAAACAACATAAATATAGCATTAGAACTGGACAAGATTCCAATGCTCTATTTATTCATGTAAGAGATTTTAACCATCCAATTGATTTTCAAAAAGTTGAGAAAGTAGTATCAAGCAAGTCCATGGTCGACAGGAATATAATTGAATCTTGTTTCATAAAAAGCAGTTTTGACAATAATATGAATATTTCCTTAGGTTTATATAAATTAGATCCATTTATAATTAATAGAATTTGGGAAGAATTTAATAATACACTGGACAAATAATTTTTAAATTTTCTTGGGTAGAATAGTTTGTGGGTGAGTTGTGCAAAGGACCTATCCAAGTTGGGTCGGCGCGCGTCAGGTGTTTAACCGTTGTGGGATCTGATAGTGAGGTGCTGGCCAGACCCCTTATATAGCTTCCTTGGATGCTTCACTTTCATAGTTCCTTGATAATGTGAGTAGTCACGAAAGCGCTTGGAATTTCTCTATTCTTTCAGAGTGGTTGTTTTGCATATTCTGAAATCACCTGTTTACTGTGATTTTATTGCATATATATATATATATATATATATATATATATATATATATATATATATATATATATATATATATATAATATATATATATATATAATATATATATATATATATATAAGGGAATTTGACCTTTATTGTACACACTAATCAGTTATAATCACATTAATGAGTAACTCATTATGTTACGGACGTTAATAACTTCCGATACATTGTTCTTACTATGCCTGTTTTATTTTTGTTGATTTGTTTGTTCTACTGTAAGTAATGATCCCAACTCGTTAACCATAACTGTTATTCAAAAATTTTCTTTTCTATGAAACTCCTCCTTTAATGACCTAAACATTTGTACCCAGACTTCTCCATAAATCAAAATAACTGAATACCTTTTCTTGCTTTCTTTCCAGGTGGTTCCTCATCAAGTGTGCTCGCGTCCCCTCACTGAACTCTTGTTTACCAAGAGTCTTCCTCAAACAGACGTGTGTTTCTGTACGCATTGTCTGCTGAGCGTTAAGATATTTCAGCATGTCCACGCCCCCACTGTGTGTGTGTGTGTGTGTGTGTGTGTGTGTGTGTGACTGTGTGTGTGTGTTTTGATAGTTATGTTTACATTTCTCTATAATTCAATATTCATAGTTTAGAATCTGGTAATCTTTCCATTTTTATTTTCACGTAAAGTGGTAAACCCATATGGTTCACTCAGCGATGTCAAAAATTTTGATATGATATGTATTCATTGCCCTTCCGGCTTCATGGGAAACTTTGTGTTGTATAAAACTTGTTCAGGAATTTATATTCACAGTGTACAATGAGAATTAGGAAGAAAACCACATACGGACCTTCACATGAGTTATGAGATCGTGAATGCTAAGAGAACATTGTTTTTACCTTTTAAAACAAGAAACTACTGTAATAATAGTGACTCGGGTGGAACATGAGAGATTGAACCCTAGACCAAAGTGAGACACACAAGTTCTCTTGTTTTTAGTTATGGAGGTAACAGAGAAGTGTGCAGGAGGAGGTGGAGTGCTGAGATGGGAGTGGCTGTGGTTGTGCGTGGAGCAGAGGAGTAAACATTGGACTCACCTGCTCACTTCCCTCTGCCTAAAACGCACTGCTCCCAGAAAGCAGAGTGAAGCGCTGCTGCACACTACCAACTACCTCCTACAATCCCCTTCAAGGAGGAGTCAGAAGGAGGCCCTCCAGTACAGCTGCCTGCCTCGCTCTCCTCCCGGGAGAAGGGAAGGCAGAAGCCTCTTCCTTAACACCAGCCTCCCACATTCTCATCTGTACAGATTGCTGCTGCTGATAATACTCATTCATCTAGCTGGCGGCTCCGACGTCATCAGAATAGGTAAGGAAATCATTTCAATCTCTCAACTAGTATTTAGTCTTAATCATGCAACCTATACAATAGGACGCAACAAAGGAGCCCTCCAGTAGGTCTGGAGTTTACCTGGAGTTTACCTGGAGAGAGTTTCGGGGGTCAACGCCCCCGCGGCCCGGTCTGTGACCAGGCCTCCTGGTGGATCAGCGCCTGATCAACCAGGCTGTTGCTGCTGGCTGCACGCAAACCAACGTACGAGCCACAGCCCGGCTGATCAGGAACTGACTTTAGGTGCTTGTCCAGTGCCAGCTTGAAGACTGCCAGGGGTCTGTTGGTAATCCCCCTTATGTGTGCTGGGAGGCAGTTGAACAGTCTCGGTCCCCTGACACTTATTGTATGGTCTCTTAACGTGCTAGTGACACCCCTGCTTTTCATTGGGGGGATGGTGCATCGTCTGCCAAGTCTTTTGCTTTCGTAGTGAGTGATTTTCGTGTGCAAGTTCGGTACTAAGTCCCTCTGGATTTTCCAGGTGTATATAATCATGTATCTCTCCCTCCTGCGTTCCAGGGAATACAGGTTTAGAAACCTCAAGCGCTCCCAGTAATTGAGGTGTTTTATCTCCGTTATGCGCGCCGTGAAAGTTCTCTGTACATTTTCTAGGTCGGCAATTTCACCTGCCTTGAAAGGTGCTGTTAGAGTGCAGCAATATTCCAGCCTAGATAGAACAAGTGCCTGAAGAGTGTCATCATGGGCTTGGCCTCCCTAGTTTTGAAGGTTTCATTATCCATCCTGTCATTTTTCTAGCAGATGCGATTGATACAATGTTATGGTCCTTGAAGGTGAGATCCTCCGACATAATCACTCCCAGGTCTTTGACGTTGGTGTTTCGCTCTATTTTGTGGCCAGAATTTGTTTTGTACTCTGATGAAGATTTAATTTCCTCATGTTTACCATATCTGAGTAATTGAAATTTCTCATCGTTGAACTTCATATTGTTTTCTGCAGCCCACTGAAAGATTTGGTTGATGTCCGCCTGGAGCCTTGCAGTGTCTGCAATGGAAGACACTGTCATGCAGATTCGGGTGTCATCTGCAAAGGAAGACACGGCAAATATTGCAAATATTGCACACATTCTGTTCATTCAACCATTTCCACTTGTGTGTCATTAATTATATTAAGAGCCAATTGCAGTATTTGCGTCAATGGCCCTGCTAAACAATTTACCTCACTCAACTAAGACTATACTGCCAAGCATGTGCTTCCCTAAATCCTTTCTAAATTTAAATTGTCCCATCTTTTATTTCGGGTTATGTCTCGGATAGATATTTCCCCATCTTTTTATAGACTCTGTTTAATCTTCTATTCTTTAGTACGCTACGCTTCTTTCAAGAGGGTAATACCTTGATGTTAGTGAAAGGCTTCTTTATCCAGGGAATAGAAGCTACCTTCCCCCTCTTCGAATCAAAAGTGATAACTTCGTATGGCCCTGGTGCTCTATACCCCTCTCGGGTTTAAAGCAGCCTTATGAATATAATAATACCATCCTCTTCACTTCTATTTCCCTTTGTTTCTGCGCATCTCAGATAAGTAGAATACCACTGCTTTTCGAATATAACACGTAACAAGATGGTCAGCATTTATACAAAAGGTTTCAGTACAACAAAACAAAATACTTTTTCCTTCAAGCAAGTCAGCGGAGCAGACATGCAGTTAACTGCTTGTCAGTAATGAAGACACAGAGAGCTGCGTCAGTCAGAAAAGCAGACAAGCAATTAGCTGCTTCTGTCAGGAGAGGAGACACACAGAGAGCTGTGTCAGTCAGCAGAGCAGACACACAGGGAGCTGCCTGAATCGGCAGAGCAGACACGTAAAAGGGCCGGTCATTACCAGGAGCCGACGAGGCATTGTCGTAGCTACGCATCGTTACCGCAGTCTATTGGCCTTCTTATCAAGTCTTCTCATATTGCATTAATCTTGTGATTCTAGAATTCAAAAGACGATGAGTGTGAGAAGCGAAAATATTACTTTATATATTTTCTTTGAATAACTTCATAAAAAGTATATAGTTTTCTATACATTTTCTTTCTAGTATCGATCTTAGGGCGCTATCATTTTCCAAGTGGAATGGAAGCCTCTACATCACATCTTACGATAGAATTTGTTTTTTCGAGATGGTCTGGGAATGCAAGTGATTCTCGGTCAAATGACCCAGAGCATCGTGGGAGAGGGTCATCATAGGCTGAGACTCACCTCAGGAAAAATAGTTTCATTTTCCTGGCAAAGACAATGGTACCTATGACAGACGTCGTAATCACTACACCAGAGACCACTGTACCTTGCCACCTCCTAGTTCGAGGCTTGTCCATTCCTGGAAAAAAAATATTTTGCGAGTTGCTTTTATTTTTTCTGCCAATTGGGTTTATTTAAAGATATTTTGCTTCTGTTTCTGAAAACAAGTGGCTGGTGTCTATGCCAAACTGGCTGTATCTGCATACAGGTAGCCTGTATCTGCACTAGTTTGACTTCTCTTTATCTCCACGACACTGGTATGCCTGAACACAGGCGGCCTGTCCCTCCACTACATTTTATGTATCTGTAGATATGGCCTTTGCTATACTTTTTATACCTGTAGAGAGGTGATATGTATACGTAGACATGTTTCTTATACGTACATTACACTGTAGACTGATCTATACTTCCGCTGCATTGGTTGTACCTTAGAAATACCAACTATACCTTCAATACATTGGCTGTACCTGTAGAAATGCCTATTAGGCGTCCAGTACACTGGCTGTACTTGCAGATAAGTAAACTGTATTCCCACTACAAAGACTGCACTTGTAGACAGGCGGTATGTTTTTCTATTACCCTAACTGTATCTATTCGTAGATGACATGAACCTCCACTACACTGCCTATACCTGTACTCAAATGGTCTAGAGTCTAGACTGCCTACACTAGACTGGCTGTCTGCTTGCACTGAACCTCCTCGTCTTTACCACCTTTTCCCTTTTCTTTGTTTTCACAGAAAATACTAGCTGACCCGGATCTCATTAGTGGATCCGTTCAGTGGTTTCCTGGAGGAGTCGGCGTAGATCTTAAGGCGAAGGGGCTCGATCCCGCGTAAACCATTAATGGCCCAATGAATCTCCAGCGAGGAGATATGAAGGTGGAGATACAGTTCTCATGATTGGTTCGTGGCAGGTCTACTGTCTACTTTTACTACATTGATGCAACGAATGGCTATAGAGTAATGCTATGGGGTGAACTTGAAGATGTCGAACATGAAGGTATGCGCCGAGACTCCTGTCTTCTTAGAGAGAACGAGAAAGATGTTGGATCATTTTTCCGGGGGAAATTGAGTAAGATCTTTCGAGGTGTGATTCGTCTGGAGGGTGAAATCCTCTTGTCTGCCGGTTTAATTCCTTAACCAACCAGGATCCATTTGATATTACATCTGCAGACTTTTCTATTTCTGTCTAGTTCTCTTCCCTTTCTAGATCAGACTTGGCGACCTGACCATTCCCCAGCACGATATCATTAATTGTAAAGCTTCCCAAGGAATATTATACTATGTATATGAATAATGGGAATATTTCACTGACATTGATCGTAGCATATCGCAGTAGGCATGTCACAGTAGGCATGTCACAGTAGGCATGTCACAGTAGGCATGTCACAGTAGGCATGTCACAGTAGGCATGTCACAGTAGATATGTCACAGTACACATGTCACAGTAGATATGTCACAGTACACATGTCACAGTACACATGTCACAGTACACATGTCACAGTACACATGTCACAGTACACATGTCACAGTACACATGTCACAGTACACATGTCACAGTACACATGTCACAGTACACATATCACAGTAGACATCCCCACTGATATCCATAGATCACTTAATCTTAGTTATTTTGTGGTTGTAACTATCATGTTAGGGTCAACTTAGTCCATTAATTCAACATTAGCCACGCATTTGCGTATTATTAAATATCTATAAGTATATGCACATGTATATATGTAACGCTGCATACATATGTACACCATGAACACAATATACACAAATACAACATAAGCAGAATATACACATGCACATCATTAGCACTACATATTGTATACATACTCCTATACACAACATAGACATGTATATCATAAGCACTACGTACACATATACCAGAGACAGCACTACAGCACTAGCCAACTTTTCGTCCTCTCTCTGTGATTCATTTAATAGCTTTTCTCTTCGCGTAAATTGACAATTAATGGGTACAAAGAGCAATCATGAAACCATCTCAGGATCGCTGCATCATTAGCTAATGAAAGACCGGGAGTAAGAGAAGCCATAAACACACTTTTTCACTTCGACAAGTTCTCTCCTGGGACTTATCCTACCTTCCTTTTGTACTGGCTTCTCTCACTCTTAAACCCATATGAATGATTATGGTAGGGATCGCAACACTGGGCGAAATGTCGAAATAAATTCTTGCCCAGTTTACCATCTCTAATTATGTGGTTAAGAAAGCATTTAAGGCATCCTCCTAAAGGAGGCATATTTCAGAGTAATTTTCAGCCATCTGGAGATTAGAAGGGGCAAAATAGTGCCAACACGCTCCATTAACCATCCCCTCAAATGAGGTTCCTTGGTGCTGGTGAGGGGCTCTTGATCTAGGGAAATGAATTTGTGCTCCAATTCCCTGAATTAAGCCTGAATGCCTTTCTCCCTACCCCACATAGGCGCTGTATAATCTCAAGGTGTTTACCACTCACCCATAATAATAATTCCTCAACAATACCTACCTTCTTCCGACTAGGATACACGAGTGTTGACATTTTACAACCGATCAGAAAGCAGCTTTCTAAAGTCTATAACATTGCAACCAGTGTCGGGATTGGTCTGTATAAAACTGAGCATGGGACAACTGCATTTGCAACTGTTCCACAAACCTTCACTTACTAGTAGTTCACCGGAGTTGAAATTTTAAAACCGATCGGATGAATAGTCCTTTAGTTATGAACTTT